ATCTCTGTGGTGTGGCATGAATGCAAGAGAAAGAAGTTGAAGGCAAAAATATTCGTTCAGTTCAAACAGCATCACATGATGCCGCATTCAGGATGGCATGTCTTTGAAAAGGCACAGTCAAAAATCTGAAGGCTTCAGTATATTCTTCATCTGGTATCTGTTTTGGATAGGACTTACACAAGCCACTCTGAGCTTTGATCAGAGAGGTATACTTAGAAAAGACTACGAGCCAAATGATTTTTCCAACAGATTCATGCCTTGTTTTCTGTCCACTGATTATCCAAATTGGTCCTTGGACGGTTATAAATGTAGGGATTTGCTTTAAAAAGCAAAAAAAAAAAAAAAAAGCAATAGCCCAGCACTAATCAGATAAAAGAAAAAATATTATATTCTGCTCCCATAGCTTCAGAGGACCCTGTTTCTCAAAACACTGCTCATCTCTAAAGTCAGTGAGACTTAAACAAATGCTGTCATGCTATGCTGAAATATGGCCCTGAACCAACATTCAAATTAAATAAAGAAAAAAGTTCAGAAAACACCAGGTACCCTTTCAGCTTCATTCCTGCTTAATGGACAGGCGGGCACAGGAATAGAATTAAATGGGATGGGAATAAGAAAGGTGTCAGGATGAGGAAGCAGAGGATCCACTGCCAACATGTGTAATACTACTGGGCTCTGCTTATTTAAAAAAATAAAGGTATCTAAATCTATTACGGTAAGTAATGAATCCTGTCACACTGCAATGACTAGAAGACGATCCTTGTAGAAATCAAAGGCCTATCTCTTACATTTTTAATCAAATGGTATATGGTCTGACTATCATGTTATCCTATTCTCCACTGCCTGAGGTTGCATAGAGTATCTTGAATGCTGGAGAAATTGCTGTCTGTGCTCATACTGCAGCTTGGGAAGAGGAATTTCAACCTTGTAGCAATGATGAGAAGATGGTCATCTAAGATGGAGTCTTCAAAGAAAGCAATGTTGGTTTCTTCTGAGCAGAAAGTTAAAACTTCCTATCTTCGATTAAATTGTTCTCTAGATCACTGCAGAGACCTGGTCTAGATCTTCACTCTTTGGATATATTTTTATTTTACTATCTCTCCTTAGTTTACAAATCCTATAAATTCCTATAAAAGACACTTTAAATGTGTTGATTTTTTTAATCCTTAGTTTGTTTGGGTTGTTGGTGGATTTTTGAAAAAAAAAAGCCTTCCTTTATATAACCTTACTTAGCAAAATGAACAAGCCCCTTGAAACTTGTCTAAACAAATTAAAATGCAGGTCAGAAATGTAAAAGGCAATGTGCAAACAGTATTAAAACCAAACAAATTTGTTCTCAGTGTCTGTGTCTGCGAGAATTGAGAGCAATTTCAAACCCTATCTTGCATGTAAAAAAAACAGTGATTAATACATAAAAAAATAAAGTTGCTCTGAAAATCAGACTGTTTTAAAAATTATTACTAATACTTACTTCCATATCTTGTCAAATGGAAGTCACCTGAACTCTTTATTTCAGTGGAGCAACAACAGTCTGCAACAGCCTGAGGATGTGACTGGTCCGAAGTCTATTATTTCACTTGGATTTAACCAGATAGAACAGCTTTCAAAACACATTACTTTAAGGGATGGTTTGATATGAACAGCCTAACTTTATTAAAGGCACAGCCAATTCAGAGGCCCAGAAATAAGGCAGTTAAAAAAAAACAAAACAACAAACCACAAACAAAAACAGTTATTGGATAACTCCAGTGCTGTACAGGAGCAGGAGGCTGATGAGATGCTGATAAATTATGACCTGCAGTAGAGAAAGGAAATAACTCTTGGACATTGTCGTGATCAGACTATCCAGCTTTTTCATACAAGGACTTTGATGTCCTAAATGAAAGTAGATTTGAAAACCTAAAACAAGGAAAAAATAACTATTTACAAGAGCTGCAATCCCAATACACTATTAAAAAAGGAGATAAATCTCTGCTCGTCTCAAGCATTCCCAAATGTTTGTAAGAGACTGGCTGAGAAGTTTCTTACCTGACCATACCCCTGTGTGCATTCTAAAGCTCAGTAGGGTATGGTTATTGAAGAGTTCCCACCTTTAACAATCAAAAAACCAGACCAGGCAGGCTCTGAGCAACATGATCTAGCTGCAGATGTCCCTGTTTATTGCAGACTAGATGACTTTCTAGGGTCACTTCCAACTCAAATGATTCCGTGATTCTATGAAAATTTCAAAGACCCATTAAACTGATAAAATAAAAGATGGAAACCTTAAGTGTGAAACATTACAGAAAATAAAAGTTGCACTCCTGACTAAAGCAGACTGAGTTACAGAGAAGGCTAATCCATTTGACCTGCTAAAGCTGTATTTCACATTTGATTAAAAATATGCCACTCCAAGTACACAGAAGGGGCTGGAAGACAACAAAGTCAGGCCATTCTTGCTCCAGCCAATATTTTCTGTGAACTTGTGGGGAGCTGGCAGAAACATTAATCTTCTTTCCATCCTCTTTCCCCCCTCTATTAAATCCACTGCTAGGAAAACACTCTCTCCTGATGCCCATGGGGAAGATGTCCCTGCTGAGATAGGATAAAAGACTCTTACATGACTCTTACTAGCCTGTGTGGGTCCATCAGTGTCTCATAACCAGGAAAGCAATCTTATAGTCTGTTGATCTGTGAAAGAGCCCTCTACAGATCATGAGCAACGAGCAAACCCTCTCTAGTTCCTGCTAGAAACGCACCTTTGCCAGATAAATATGCTCCTGGCTTCTTGTGGCTATAGTTTACAGGATGCAGCTATCATTGCAATTACAAAAAGGTGGAAAGATAAAAAAGACTGTGGAGGGAAATACAGTTTTTTTTTTTTGTTGTTGTTTTTTTTTTTTTTAATATGCTGTATACATTCTAAATTCTCTTTTCACTCCCCTGGTGTTGTAGGATGCTAAATGCACTGGAAATTTAAATTCGCATCCAGCATCCAGATCACTGAAAAAAGAAGTGCAGCAGACTAGAAAATGAAAGAAGAAGCCAAAAGGCAAAAAAAGTCTAAACAGAACTGCTGGCATATTTCCCCTTTCTCTCAGCTGTTTTGCAAGTCACACTATTTTCTAATTTGCAAGGAGAGAAATTAACCTGTAACAGAATGTAACAGTCCCTACCACACCACAGGGGTTTACAGTGTATCAGCCTCAGCAAAAATTAATCCTAACGTGTAAATAAGAAGTGGATTCTCTTAACAATATAATGGGGCCAGCTCCTTTTCTTGTGTTAGCTCTCCTGAGCAATGGAATCTATTTTACAGGCACTGCAGAACTTTTTCCATCACTTGAGATAGTGCATATTTTTCTTTTATTAACGGAGTTCATCTGGGTCACTTCATGATTTAACCCTTTGTTGCATTCCTAAGGGCTTACATCCTTTAACCTGAAGTAGTGGATTCCAATTGTTGCCAAATCATGCTGTCTCAGTTAGAAAGTGGTAGTAATCGGTGTATATTAAATATTCAGTCTTTAATTCTAGAAGGTGCATCTCAAAATCAAAAGAAATTTTACATCAATTAGACATACATTGGCAATGTCAAAAAACAAACCAAGAGACCTTGAGACTGTGGAGAATGCACTGCCCCAAGAAATAGTCCCATCTAGTGTGAAATGGGGTCAGTAAGACACTTAGAAAATATGAATTTCCTACATATACTTTTCTGCCTCCAGTGCCTTCAATTTGGCATTTTACCGTATTTATTTCTTAATGATGGTACTGGAAATTTGTATGATGGTGTACATCTGTAGTGGAAAAAAAATCACATAAAAACATAAACAAACAAACAAAAACCATGAATGAATCAAATTCCTGGCATGAGAGGATAAGATTTGAATGTAAGGGTCTCATCCTTATCCTGTGTTGCTTCATCAGGGCACTAAATTTCCACAGATTCTCAGAGCTGGAATAATCTCACCTAGGGCAGAATCATCCTCTGCTTCACCCTGTTATTTAATTAGGCAAACATTAACAATGAGACCAAAGAAAACAGCATTTGGGGAATCTAAAATATGTAAAACATGCTGCAAAAATCGCTCTTGTAGGTCTTCACAATACAACTAAAGGAATAAAGCCTTCGTATGAAACCATCCTGAAAAAAAGTTACCCTGTGAGAGCTTTTTGTCTTGTGTATGGCTCTAAAGTTAAAAATTGTTTAAGGATCACTTTGACATAAAGTTATCATATCTTGAAGGGATTAATGATACACAAATGCGCCAAGTTTCATGAGCATGGTTATGAGATCCAGTGCTTTTGGGTCTGTATGCTTTTGTCCCCATTGACACCCCAATCACTGCAAAGGTCTTGACTTGGGGATGTTGCAAAAAACCCCCACAAAAAAAAAAAAAACCACAAATCTCCCCTTTCTTTTTTTTTTTTTTCATAAAGGAATTAAATGGTTGTGATTCATATGTGAGATTCACAGAGCAAAGGATAGATTTTACAAAAATACTTGGGTTGCTAAATCTTCTGGGAGCCTGACATTTATTGGTAGTGGCTGGGAAAAGGCTCCTAAACGCCTGAACATTTTTGTGCTGAAAACTTTTATTTTGAAAACTGTGTTAAATGCAGCACTGAATCTTCCCTCTGTGCAATGTAGTTGCTGCAGGCTCAATGAAGGGAGGACTACCATTTAGTAATGCTTACCTGTGGAAGCACACAGGTAAACGAAGGTGGTTTGGCTTGGAAAATAACTACCATGTTTTACTGCAAGCATCTTTTAAAAACCCTTTTGTCATTACGTTTACAAACACAAGATGCAGTGCAATGTGGGATCAAGTGAATGAAAGCAGCAATTTGTATGGCATGACAGTGTTTTGTATGGTATGAAAAATTAACAAAACAATGCAAAGGGAAACTAAGGAGCTAGTGGACATGGGGGAAATTATTCATTCTGATTTGCAGAGGTTCTCATGGGAGACATCCAGCCCATCACATCCTATTCTTACGTTTTTTTAATTTTACAGGGATCAGTGAAATGGGAAAAAGTCTTGCATCCTGCTGTGATTGACTGCATACCACTTGTATGCACAGCATCAATAGGTAAAGTTTCATCATTGCATGCTATGAGATGAAAGATAATTGTGTATATTCCACACCTTACTAAGACAGTACTCATAAAATCCTAGCACCATCATTTATCCAGACACTCTACATAGCAATACCTGATATCACTAGGTCTTTTTATGTAGTTTGTTGCTCAATGATCACTTTCCTCTAGCTTGTAAACATTATCTGTGTATTCGTATTTCATAATTCCCTCTTTCAGAGATACAAGTAGTTTAATTTTGATTTCCTTGAAACCGACTTCACTAAATCTGTTTGACCATAAAAGCTAATTAGTAAAGACTCAGTGTTAATCATGTGCAATAGATTATAGCTGGAGGATGCAAAAAGACCGTTTCTTTCATAATAACTGCTGCATTTCATCATCACAAGCTATACAGCAATGCAAAGGTAATGACATTTTTATTTCATCTTTTTATGATGGGACTCATCAATACTATGATCCATTTTCAGATTTTTTCCTAACATCTGCTTACAATATCCAAGAAGTCTCTGGAGAATCATACAATCATTTTCAGATGCTAGTATACTGAAAATGAGAATTTTCAGATCCCAAGAAGCATTAATGGCATACAGCCTAATAATACAAACTTAAATTCTGTCTTCGACTTGTTCACATTACAAGCAGTTAAAAAGACCCTCTATAAATGGTGCAAGACAAAGCAGTTGGCTCCGTTCTCAGAGGAGAGGGAACTTCTGTATTCTACAATCAGGGTGGCCTAAGTGGAAATCTGGTTTGCTCTATTTGTGCCAGGTTCTGAACCAGCTCTCTAGGAACACGCAAGGAAGAGAAGCCCCAGGAGAGCACCTGATACAACTCACATCCTCAGGGACAAGCAATACTAAGTGAGCAGTGGCAGTACAATTCTTGGCTGACTTATCCTGAGAGTGAAAACAAAGAGTAATGCCAATTCAATTGCCATCCCTCCGTAGCTTGGATGGCCCTCGGTGACTTAAGGAGCTAAATTACCTACTGGCAGTTGACCCGAAACTTCCCTTCTCATTCATAAAGACGAACACAGCCCAGATCTACAAATTTTGGTTCACTACTGGATCGGGAAAACTCTGAGAAGCTTCACTAACCATCACACAATTCATACATTGCCTGCAATCAATTCTTTTTATTTTTTGATATTTCCAAAGTACCAACAACGTTCTGCACCAGCAGGTAAAGGCAGGAAGAAAAGCTTCTTGTCACAAAGAGATTGCCATTTAGATACACTGCGTACTGACAAAGGAGAGTGTAATGGGAAGCAAAGAGTGAGCAGAGTAATTGAATGATGCATTTAAGCATACATTTTGTTATCTCTGTGGAGTTTTATGTTTGTTTTCTTCTTGACTTATTGAATTCGGTGTTCATACTTTTCAATCATTCATTAGCTAAACAGTTCTCTTGTGGCTTGCCTAGATTAGGAAATGAGGACTGGGACAAGTTAAAACTAAGAAAAAGGTGGGTATTTTCTTAAGCAAAGGCAGCTCACATCACTTCTGGAACACCTCTCTCTACTTGCTCATTAGCATTTACCAGAGAGCTGCCTGATGCCTACATTCTGCAGAATTAGGTTTTTTTCTTAACCCCAGTGAAGTCTTTACAGACAAGACAGTTTGCTACAGACATTGCAAGCTGGCCAGCCAACACTCAGGCAACCAAATCACTGGGATTTGGACCATAAAAACAATTTAGGCAAAATCTGAAACATGAGTGATCTTTTTAGCATCTCTCAGTCTATGAGAAGTTATTCTATGAAACAGCATAATGGAAAGGATTAAGGAGAGGACTATTTTTCCTCCCCACAAGGAATTGTTAAAAGGACAAATTGCTACAATCCATCCTGCATGATTTTAGAATTTTTCAAAGACTTTGTCCACACCTGAACCATGTACCCACCCACCCTTCTCCTCAACTAGTTTTTCTCCCCACTGAGGAGAATGCAATCCATACAATCTATTTTAAATGTTTACCAGTTGTTTGGAAAAGTTCCTGCTTTTCTCTACTGGCCATAAAGAAATACAGAATGTCCAGACCTAACCAGGACACTTGCAGAGTTCATACTGATAAATCATATTTAAACATATTTAAAACACACTTTATTTGTAGCCATCCTTATTTAAAGGAACCTAACAGTAACATCAGAACACTGAGCATGCAGAGCTAAGATGGTCTCCAAACTAGGTCATGAAAATATTTCCAACAGTGATTTTATCCCATTCTATCACAACAGTACAAAAGTACAAATGGTTAAACTTTTTAGTGAGGCAAGCAAAGACTGGTTGCACTGTGGCACTTTTTTCAATACCAAATACGAAAAAGTCTACTAATAAATCTTACAGGAATATGGCTAATTAACAGAAAAGATGTGCTTATGATTGTGGACACTGTAATCTCTCAGGGCAATAATCATATCTTCCTATGTGCTTGTCCCTTTATAGGGAATAAAAATATCCCAACTCACCAACCTGACTCGAGTTCATTTTCACCATTTCATTATTGGAATATCACTGCTAATGAAAATGAAATCTGAACTCTAAAAATATAACCACAGCATACATTCCGAGTCTCTGAAAGGCGGCTGAGATCTTGTTAGTCAATACTATTATTTCCTGTTGGAGCAGAATTTGGCTGTTTTCGGAAATGTCATCTCAGGTTCAGTGCTGGTGTTTATATACCGTTGATGCCCAAATTACTTTTTCACATTACATTCAAGAAGCAAGAAGTTTCCAGGACAATACAGTTGATTTAAATACAGCTTAAAATGGAAGACAGTGAAGTCATCCACATTTATATTTGACGCTGATGTAAACCAGAGCATGTAACATTTCCAGTAGCTACACACAAATCTGTCTAGACATTTGGTGGACTCTCCTTGCCATATTTTGTTCCAGGGGCCAATTATAAGCAGCAAGGTGATTGCCATCTTATGCAAAGAGGTCCCTAACTAGTGCATTAGATTATGGAAAAACAAATGAAAAAATAAACATTCTTGGATTTATATTTAGGATAACAGTGTCCTTCAGCTAACCTTGAAACATTTCATTTCAGCTACATCCAGCAGTAAACTAGAATTCACAGCTATTAGAACATACTTATCCAAGAGTTTCGGGCCTTTTCTTTTATCTTCTTTTAAATTTAATCAGTTTAATAAAGTATGGGGAATTTTTTAATCTCATTTCATAACAGTTTGTTTTTATAGAGAGGAAAAAAAATAACTTGGAAAACAAGCATGTCACATTCTGAAAGCTCTTTCTGGAACATATGGTCTTATCCTTCAGAAATTACGAGTTCTCTTGACAGAGGCTGTGACAATCAAGTTGCATTTGAAGAACTGCTATATTCTAATTACTCAGTTATGCCAGGCTTTTCAACAAAACTTTCCCAGAAGTTCCTGTCACTCAATTCTGAATGTGCATTCAGAGATTTGAAGCTTTAATGAGCCTTGATCAAGTTAAGTAAGGCCCCACCCAGACTGTGAAGATGATTGCTGATAACTATGTGAGTGTTTTGGCAATAGTTAGCCCCAGGCATTGAATGCCACGTCCACGGCAACTTCCAGAGATTTCAGAAATCTTCAGCCTAGAAAGTCTCCCATGGAAATGGCATCAACACACTCCCATTTCCTGGGAACAGATGGATCCATCACATAAAGCTTTGTGAAATGAGAAACAAGCCAGACTGGAAGCGTGGTACCGTATTACAAACTCTGCTTGCATTTCCTGAACACCTTCTCAAAAAAAACCCCTCATTATTGACATTATGTAAATACATTGCATTGGGGTTATCTGATAGTCTCTTAACTTAATAACTGAGTGAATTTGGCTGGCATATTAGCTAATCTCTGGCCTGAAATGGCTGGTGCACATGTGAGTAGCATTAAATCTAACTGTGAATTTAGCTTGGATGGAATTTGCATCTCCTTCAAATCAATTCCGTACAACTGCAAATCCCATATTTTAAAGAGTTGTGCCCAGTCACTTTTCAGTGAAGTGCACAGGATCTGATTTTGTCAGCTCTCTTTGCGATTCCCTTTTTAGAATCCAAAGCTTCCTCTCCCAACTATGCGTAGAAAATAATACATTTACAGTGATTAGCTCAGACAGCACATTACAGCACAGCAAATAGAGCTTCCTAATGCCTATAAGTCACCCCAGTGAAATATGGAGACAGCATAGGACTGGGCATATTAGGAATATGCCTCTGTTATTAGGCTATGCCCTGGCCCATGAACTGTAGTTGCAGAATAGGGAAAACTTTTCAGCCTCTCTCCACACATCACTGCAGCAGATCCACAGATGGGAGCTCTTTATAGATCAGCAGCCACCAAACCTCCTGCTTTGCAAGATGGAAGTGGGTCATCTGAACACAGCAAGAAGAGATACACAGATCAACAGAGAAATAAGTCTGGCTCGTGACCAGATATCCATCCTGGGGACCTGCCAGGCTTTCCACTCAGCCAATCTATTTTTAAAGACAGGGCCTTATTAGCACCTTACAGTTCTTGAATTACTTTGCTGAATCTTCCTAATGGGATAGCAATCTGTCCCAGAGTATTAGTAGAAGTAAATGATGGAAGGATTGCATAGGTGTATTCAAAGATCTGGAGGATGACAGCAAACCTGAGCCCAGGAAACCTTGCATGCAGCAGCTGTAAGCTATAATACATGCAGAGGCAGACTTGCAAACACTCTTTTTCTTGGCAGAGAACAAAGATCTTTCTTTTCTGCCATACAACAGACAGTAGGCTCAGTATACACCTTCTGCTTTGATCAGACCCAAGTATAACCTTCATTATAGAACTTTGTGTAAATATTCACACCCAAAAGAAACAAATACTAATACCTGCACTAGCTATTTTTCTCCAGTTTATGTTTTACTGACCTTTAGCTAAACCAGTTCTGCAGGGTGCAATTCTTAAATGCCTTTTTCTTGTTCTGCTTCCCAACATATAATCAATAACAAGAACTGATAATCTCTTCCTCCCAGAAAGACAGCAAACTGTATTTCACTGACCAAAATATTCCTTAATGCCTAATGCCAAAAACTGTACAGGAATTCCAGTCCTCCCTGAGGTGCAACATTTGGTTGAGTTCTTTAGGTCTATGAATATAGTAATTTGCAAAAAAAGACCATAAAAATATTTCCTACCCTGCAATTTTCCTCTATCATCCAAAGTGCATTCAAAATGTAAAATCATGAAATGGGTTGAAGATCTTTGAGTTCCAACCCCTGGCTGTGGGCTGGTTGCTAACCACTAGGATAGGCTGCCCAGGTCCCCATCCAACCTGACCCCTTCTGTACAGAACTATGTTCCCAAGCTTAAGTACTTCTTCAGCCTTATCCGGTGAGTTCCCAACAGCTGAATGCTGTCACATGGCTGCCCTGTTTTTTTCCCCAGTCATGGGAGCACAAAGTACATGAGATAGCACTAATCCATGCAACCTCTAAGCCTATGAGATCCACGCAAGTTCTGCAAGAAGGAAACCACACCAAAGCAGAGAAACTCTGTGCTGCATCTCTTTGATGCCCTCCATCAGTGCAGCAACATTCAGATGACAACATATTGCATGTAGTCACAAAAGAACATACTTTAAAGAGTATTCTTGTTACAAATTTGTAAACATAGCTAAGCACTAATAATATCTCCCTTCATGCTCACTTTTGGAACAGCTGCTGTCACTGTTGCAGACCATCTGCAGGTAGGAAGGTAACTTAGCAAGCACTTCTAAAATCCCACTGTTTAATGAGTAGGTAAGGAGGCACAGTCAAAATCAGAGCAGCAGCAAGAGATGCTCATGCTCCTCTGTTCCCGCAGTGCTAGCTCTTAGGACTAATTTCAAAGACTCGATAAATTGGACCTGGGTTGGCAGAAGTCAGCAGTAACCAGGATTAATCATAGAGTCATAGAGTCATAGAATCATTAAGGGTGAAAAAGATCTCCAAGATCATCTAGTCCAGCTGTCAACCCATCTCCAACATGCACTCTAGCCCACGGCTCTTGGTGCCACACAGTGCCTCAGCTGCTGAGAACTCTCCTGCATCTTGTGAAAGCACTGGCATAACCATAAGAATGATGTCATCCAATTCAACCACTCTCTCTTTATTCTTTAAAATAGGTTTGATTTTACTTTTTAGTATAAAGAACAGTAATTTGCACCATCTGACGATGGCTTAAAAGATCTAAATTCACCACTTGGCTTATTACTGCATTTTCCTGAGCTTGGAAATGAAGTTTACCCTCTGGATTTTGACACAGGGCAAGATGCCCTGATGGCATCATGGGGGATTTGGCGCAGATGAGCCCAAGGAAAGGAAAGGGCTAGGATGTGTAGAAAAGAGCTTGTTGTATGGGCAGCAGGAGGCAGCTCCATGTGTAGGAGGTGAGAGAAGGCAGCACGCTGGGAGTGGGAGAAGGCTACAAAGAAAGTCAGCTCAGAGGAGAGAGTGAGGAACATAAGGAATATCACAGTGTGTGGGATGAGATGAGAACAGAGATGTAGGTTTTTAGAGAACTTTAAAACAATTATAGGTTTTTGCCATGGAGGTTCTGTTCCACTAGCACTTGCTTCCTTGTTACGTGCCTGGAATTGAAGCTTTCTTTGAAAGACCTTCCTAATACTATTTCATACTTTCAATTAACATTTTATTTAAATGCTTTAAGATAGTTTCTAGATACATTAAAGCCTTATTGATAAAATCTTGAATATAATAATGAAAATTTACATAACTAAGCCACATTTGCATTCCATAACAAGACAGCTTTCCAGTATGGAGTGTGCCATCAATAGCCCCCATGTCTTCCTGAATTTTCTTAGCTGCAGCATTCACTTTAAATTCAAAAGGTTACAGATTTAGCTGGAAGAAAGAAGACTGTGATACCATCAGTGATCAGGTATCTTTTCCAAATTTCAGCTGATATATCAGAGGATATCAGTTTAACACACGTACTTGGCATATCTTCAGGAGCTTTACAAGAGACACGTCTATATATATATTTTTTAATTTAGTATTCTTTTCTGTTAAAGAGAAAAAGTGTTCATACCCTTCCTACAAATAAAACACGAAGTATCAGTATCTTTCTGTAGTACATCTGCACACTTCCTTGGGGATTTTTCATTATAAAATAATACCTCTGTTATCAAGGCACACCATAATAAACCAGTATTGAGGACCAGTAAGAGACATAGAATCCCTGAATCACAGAGTGACTTAAGCTAGAAGGGACCTTAGAGATCCCCATTCCAACCTCCTGCCATGGACTGGTTGCCCTCCAGCAGCTCAGACTGCCCAGGGCCCCATCCAGCCTGGCCTTGAGCACCTCCAGCTTAGTTTGGAAGGGACCTTAAAGGTCATAGACATTAAAGATCATTGAGACGTTAGTGGTTGGTGCAGATTTTTTTTTCATGAAGACACATTTTGAGAATTTCTGAGAGGAAGGACTAGAAAAGATGGTGAGAGAAGATG